AAAAAAAAACCAGCTCGGATTTATGATGAAGACTTGATACTCTTTTGGGCAAATATATTGCAACTGATAGAGCTCCAAATTTAAAAATATTCTTTTCCAGCAAAATGAAGTTGGTAAGGTGCTAAAAAGTACACTTGATTAAGTAAATGCCTTAAAATTTGTATAGATTAAAGTATATATAGAGTATATATGGTTTACAGCAGATACGATTTATATGAATTCCAATCATACCCAGCAAGGCTTTTATTTCAAGTAGGGAATCACCCTAGCATCTCATCTTATCAACAAACCTGAAGCACCCTTTCTCTGTAAGTATTAGTGTATGCCAAACAGCAGAAAAACAGGAATGAATCGAGTCTCGGCAACAAGGCCCCAAGGCCCAAACTCTAAGCATAGTCGAAGTGCAAATATTGTCCGGGGCAACGTTTGCTGTTTGATTTTGCAGCCATGAGATTATCATCAGAAAGCCATTAGAATTTTTATTGAATTCCGCACGCACACACACACACACATACGCACACACACACGCAGCGAAAGAGAACACTTCCTACACAATAACAACAGCTGGCATTAACTAAGCCGCATTGAATTATATGCCCTTAGGCTGTGGGAATAAATCGAGAGAGCCGACAACACTTTCACGCGCATTTTCGTTAATCATTGGGGATTAGTTCTAATCAAGTTGCCATTTGCTGTTGTTGCAATCGTGTTATTGGATTTGTATTGAGCTCGTGTGGAATTTCAATTAATGGTATACCAAAGCCCTCCGACAGACACATCCTCTCTCTGCCTCTCTCGGTCTCTGTGGCTCGCTTGCTCTTCTTTTGCCTCTCTCTATTAGCCAGTTAATCTTTTATAATTAAACTGATTTAGCTGCACTGTTGCGCCTTTTGTGTTTGCGTTTTGCCTTTACCTTTGCTTAGCTCATTGACTTGTTAGCATAATTATCCATTAATATCATATATTCTCATTCTGCGGCAAACTAATTCAAATATATGACCGCAATGAACAGGACATTCATTGGACACACTATATATTCACTGCGCTCCACACAGTTGCCTAATTGAAATTTAGTTTAGCTCCACGGCCATTGTCCTAAAGGTCAAGAGTTTGCTGCGCTCCCTGCGTGCTGCTGCCCACCCTCAACAATCATTGGAATTGTAATAGAGCCAATTATTGCCCACGCAGGTGCTTGCAATCAAATTAATTAGACAGCCCTGGCCAGTGTCCTGCTCCTCCAAGTCTCGATTCTGTTAATATTGGCAGACCAGGCAAACGTGATGCTGTTTCTGATAATTACATTCTGGCAGCCTATGATATTTCACTGTTGACTTATTCCATCACGATTGCCATTTTAATTATGAGTCAATTGCAAACATCAAGCGAAATCAATCATCATCAAGCACTCAGTGCATAGGAAATTTTTGCCCGGGAGCAAACACAGATTGCTATGAACCGAAGAGCTGTAATAAAAGAGCGCTAAAAAAAAAGTCAATAGCCGGAATACCTGTGCACATATTAAACAGACTCATTTCAAATTGAATTTTACGTTTGATGCGCTTTCAGTCACTATTTGCACTAATGGCAATTTATTGCAAAGCGACAAAAGGAGAAACAATCGACTGGGAATATTTTTGATTTGCTTTGCTTTGGATGTCGTAAAGAAAAATTAATTAAAATATATCTATATATATAAAAGAAAGTTGTGTAAAAGTGAAGACTGCTTATAACTTGATTTGGGCTGAACCAATTTTCATGGTTTTTGATTT